GTTCCCTCCCTAAATATCTCTAGAGTCCTTCATTTCATTTCCTTCCTCAATATGCCTTTGACCAAGCCCTCATCCTCTGTCTCTGATTTTTGTTTGACCCTTACAATAGCCTCCTTCTCTGGTTTTTGTTTGATCTTCTGTGATAAATCTGTTCGGCCACCAGAGCAGTCATTCCAAAACACAAATCTGGCCCCATCACTTCCCATTTGATAACACCTCAAATTTGCCAAATGGTTTCTAAGATCAAGTCCAACCTCCTCCTCAGCCAACAAAGCCTTCCATGACCATGTATCGCCTGCTTCTTGTCTCCCAGCTCCTCCCATCACTTTCCATTGGGCAATACCAAACTGACAGCCCCTGTAGACACCAATTACAGGCCTGCTCCCTCTCAGGAACGCCTCTCTTCTACCCCTTTTCACCTGTGCTCAGGCCCTGGCTCTTCCAGGAAGTCGTCTTCGGCTCCTAGGCAAGACTACTTGAGCCTCACTTAGCATCCCATCATAGGCAGCAAGTAGCTTTACTATAGTCTATCAAAACCTTTCTTTCATCTGTTTTCCTGATGGTAAGCAATGTGACTATGGGAACTGTGTCTTACTCACCTTTATATCTGCAGTGCCTGGCACTCAGTATGTGCTTTTTGGTCAAAATTGCCACTTTTTAATTTTAATTTTTTGACTTTGTCAAACTGTGTGAAAACCCACCAATTAGATGTATTAGATGTATTTGGGGGCATCAGATATTCTGGGTGAAATGTAAAATCCACCTTATCTATTAAGTTCAAGTTTAAAATGACTCAATTTGATTAGTTACTTGGCATTGGAAGGACAACGCTGCATGCATACTAGTCAAATAATTCAGTTGCAGAGCCATGGGGTTAGCGTTCCCAAAGTAGAAGCCTGACTCTGCTGTTCATCAGCTGCCTCTCTACGCCTCTTCCTAACCTGGAAATGGGAACTGGCTTACGTTCTCAAAATGCTGTTTTAAACTTTAAATAATACAGGAAATGCAAGTGTCTCTCACAGTGCCTGTGTGGCACATGGAAATATTCATCAACCCAAGGTAGATGTTATCATTACTGTCATTAATAAGGCCAGGCTTGGGAGGGTGCCATGTTCAGGCAAGGACATTGGGTGTGGTAGGGAGAGGCAACATCCCAACCTCGAAAGTTTGTCTATGAAGAGTTCAGGTCAGAGAGAGTGGCTGCCCAGACTTGCCTGTGTTCACAGTGATATGAAATCTGGGGATCTTGGCATGGGTATTTCTCAGTCATGGTGTGTACCTCACTTCTTATCTCTAGCCAGCATCTCATCTGCCGACTAGAGAGAGAACAGAGTACTGCAGGGGAAGAGCCAGGTGTGGCCTCTCATCCATGTGCTGCTGTGCAGCTCATGGAGCTCCTCTACATCATCTCATCGAGACTCCACCACAAACTGCACGTGGGCACTTTTACTCCCATTTTACAGAGGACAAAACCAAGTCCAGAGACATTTAAGTGACCGACTTCATGTCACAGAACTAAGAAAAAGCTGAGTTAGAATTCAAATCTAGACCTTTTGATTTCAAATCTAGTGCCTTTCCTAATACAGGTTAAGGAAGATCAGGCAAAAATGCTCACAAAAAGTGGATGGGAAAGTTAGGCAGGACATAAGGTCATAGGCTGAGAAAGAACTCTCTGGCAGGGACAAAAACACTAGGGCTGCTGTCCTCCTAAGCAATATAGCAAAGATAACTATGTGATTAGGCAACGAAAGCCTTATGAGCAGGTGAGAGAGAGCAATAGGAATTGTGATGACACCATTATGGAATTTTTCACAATGGACATAACTTATCTGGAAAGCTTTGAAGAAATGCTGACCCAGGGAGATAACTGACCATACCACTTTCTCATACCATTAAGGGGAGAGCCAGTCTGAAGGCCGTCTAGGCCTTACTGGTGTTGGCTGTGTTAACACACTGAAATGACTTTCTCTTTCTTTGAACAGCTTTATCCTATATAATAAAAGGCTAATATGCAAATAGACTGGACTGCAGAATGACCAGTCACTATGATGCACACTGACCACCAGGGGACAGATGATCGACACAGGAGCTACCCCCTGGTGGTCAGTGCGCTCCCACAGGGAGAGCGCTGCTCAGCCAGAAGCCCTGAGGCAGGCTCCCGGCTGGTGAGCACAGTGGCAGTAAGGATGTCCTACTGACGGCTTAGGCCCGCTCCTGAGGGCTCCCAGACTGCGAGAGGGCACAGGCCGGGCTCAGGAAACCCCCCACCCCGAGGGCATGAATTTCGTGCACCGGGCCTCTAGTTATGGTATAATTTATATACCATACACTTCACCCATGATAATAAATCATTCTGAGTAAATTTATACAGTTGGGCAATCATCACCACAATCTACTTTTAGAACATTTCTGTCACCCCCAGAAGAAAACACTAAAATACTTCTATAGAGGTTAGTAAAGAGCCAGTGCCCTCAACCCCTGCCCCCCAAAGGATCTCCCTTCAGTGGCTTCTGAATACCGACAGAGCTCCCCCTGATCCAGCCCACCAGGCAGGGAGCATCCAGATCCCTGCCCCAGCATGAGCAGCTTCTGTTCTGCATGGTTGGTCCCTGTGCCACATCTGCGCCACATCTGTTGTTAAATATGTTTAGCATCACCCCTGGGGAGGACCAAGGCAAGCGCTCAGCTCTTCTGGTTCTCAACTCAGAGCTTTCCACACAGCACCCTGCTTTTCAGGAAGACTGGAACATAAGCAAATGAAAGGAAGTGCTATGCAACTATATCTCTGTAAAAGGTAGGTTTCGAAGGGCACGAGAGTGAGCTGATCTCCATACTAAAGGTGCCACCTCCTTACTAAAGGTGTTCTTATCTTGAGGTTTACACACCTCTGCCGATGGATGGACTTGTGAGGGTCAGGTAACTCCCTGAAATACAAAATTTCATAAGCATGCATGGTACCGACTTTTCCCTCCTATGAAGATCCTTTTTAACACATCTAAAACACAAGGGACCAGCCGAAACCGGTTTGGCTCAGTGGATAGAGAGTCGGCCTGCGGATTGAAAGGTCCCAGGTTCGATTCCGGTCAAGGGCATGTACCTGGGTTGCGGGCACATCCCCAGTGGGAGATGTGCAGGAGGCAGCTGATCGATGTTTCTCTCTCATCGATATTTCTAACTCTCTCTCCCTTCCTCTCTGTAAAAAATCAATAAAAAATATATTTAAAAAAATAAAAAATAAAACACAAGGGACCAGATGCTGATTTTTACTGTGAGGCATGTCAAGATTACCAAAACCCCTTTTCTCATATTTGTCACAGCTGGTTGTTGGCTCTGATGATGTCATAATGCTTTGTGGGATCATCTGATGTCACTCACACCTTAGGGAGAATCAGCTTTTAAACAAGGTGAACCTTAGATGATAAAATGTGATCTTCTGGAGCAATTTTCTGAGATGATGGGATAAAAAAATCTCCAAAAGAAAATGAATCTGGAACAGCTTTCCTCTTTCATTGGTACATGTGAGTTTTACTCACAGTTGAAATGTTGACAACACACTGGGCTAACACCTGATGTGCTTCTGGATTATTCTTAGTCGCCAAGAGCCTCCAAACATTCCTTAAGGACAAGGTCATTTTGCACAACAAAGGGAAAACCAGCCCATTTCTGGCAATTAGGGTGGAAGTCTGATAGCAAAAAAAAGTATACCAATATAGTAACTTCCTCTCTATACCATAGAATAATTGGTGTATTTTAAAGATCTTTTTCATTTTGAAGACATTCTACATTAGGGAATTTCCCAGAGAACATAATTTAAGTGTGGAAATGATAATATCCTACATTGCTCTTGTATTTAAATCTTATAGAAACTTCTAAAAGGTCTCCAAGTGAATGAAATGAGAGGTTTTAAGCTTTCATTCTGGTAAAGTAAAAGCCTTCAACTCAATATATTATCACACCCCTTCATTTTTTAGAGATAGAACACAAGGTGCAAGCCTTTGGCTTCCATTTTCCTCTTACAAACCAATGGCATATTCAGTTCCGGAATCGCTGTTTTAAACGTGACTTCTGATGAATTTTGGCAGAACTGGTGCATTCCCAGAATAAATTTTGTCTGCTCAGCGTTCCCTATTCAATACATCCCCATGTCGAATGACCACATAACTGTCCACCACGAAACAGGCTGAAGTATGGATGTGATAGAAGATATGTGTATGTTATAGCGCGACGCTGATACATACATTAAACAAAGAAATTCCTGTCTAGGGTCAAATGTCTAATCAAATGTCAATGCTGTAACAACCGTTAACTATTACTGATACACGTAAAGTTTTAAACTCAGGGGCTGGGATGAAGGGGCTGAAATCACACACAGAGAGGAAAAAACAATTTCAAAAATTTCCCTTCCCTTCCGGGCAAGTTTCAGCTCTACAAAACCTACGCTAGCCTTTACAGCAAAGTGTTGTTCTGCTTTCCATTCTCAGACCGTTGCACAAGGAAACCCGTGTCTCTCTTCCCAAATGAGGGCTCTGAGAAGCCTGCCATGTGCGGAAAGACCAGAAAGCAGCCCCGCGAAAGTTTTCTCCAGCCCCAAGGGTGCGCACGGGGGCCCAAAGGTGCGGAAAGACCTGCGAAGGGGAACATCTGTACACCATCTACCTATGGTTGGGAAAACAAAACAAACCAGAAAAAAACAAAACAAAACACCCCACGAGTCCGGACATCATCAGGACCTCGGGGAACAGGCGGAAAAGAAAGCAACCGCGGCCCGCTCAGAACCGGAGACGCACGCCTCGCGCGATCGGGGCCGCCGGGGGGCTCGCCGCGGACGCCCGACCGCAGGAGGGGACCGAGGATACTGACAGCGCCGTCTACCTCCCCCCGCACCCCCCACCCGCCCGTCCCGCCCGCGGGCGCCCGGCGCGCCAGCCAATCCCGTCGCGCTATTCCCTTCCCTCGGAGGCCCCGCCCCCGCGCCCGGGATGCTGGGCCCCCGGCGTGACGCGAGCACGGCGGCTCCGCCCCCTGCGTCTCTGGCCTCGCCGGCCTCGGGGGGGAGGGATGGTTCCATCATGGCGTCAATGCAGGTGAGAGGAGTTTGCAGCATCTGGGCGGGCGAGGGAGCCTCCGAGAGGATGCGAGCGTTTCGTCGGGGGCGGCGTCTGGGGCTCAGGGGCACCGGGCGAGCTCGGGAGCGGCCCTGGCCGCCAGTCCCCCCCCAGGCTTCGGGCGTTGGGGAGGAGTGAGAGGCGGCGAAAAGAAGGGCGGGGGGGGGGGGCGGCGGCGGCGGGCTCGGTCGGTCGAAGCGGACACCAGCCGGCCGGGAAGTTGGGGGCTAAAGAAGGCGAAGGGGAGGAACGGGCGAAGTTTGGCGTTGGCTCGGCGGCTGTCGCCTCGGAGTCGCCTCCCGCTCGCACAGTTGCCCGCTGCCGGCCCGCCCGCCCGCCGCAGGGATGCCTTCCCCTCCGCGGTCCCCGGCCCGGCGGAAACAGCTGCTCTGGCCGCCGGCGCCGGGGCAGGAGCGGCCCCGAGAGGGGCTGAGGGTGGGGGAGCTGCAAAGGCGTTCCCGGGGAGGGCGCCCGGCGGCCGCTGCCCAGGCCTCCCACGCCGGCCTCCCCGGCTGCCCGGCCCCTCGGCTCTCCCTTGGCCCCTTCGTTTCTCGCCTCTCGGGGACCTTTCCCTCCGAGCCGCCGCTCTCCGCGCCCAGCAGCCCGCGTCCTCCCGGTCCCCGAAGCTGCCCTCGGCCCCTGGACACCCCTCGCCGCCTGCTACGCGACGTCCCCGGGAGCCGAGTCGCGACCCGGTGGACCCCCCGGGGTCGCTCGGCTGCAGGTCTCCCTCCCCCGCGGCGCCCCGCCCCGCCCTGGCGGTAGCGGCCGGGCCCCGGCCCTTTGCCCTTTCTCTCCCCCCCGGTCCTCGGTGCAGCCTCCGTCGGGTCGGAGCTGTTGGCCGGCCCGTGTCACCGCGACCTGGCTTGGCAGTGCGTGGTTTCCCGGCTTTCCAACTTCACGGAGCCCCGATTTCCCGAATCCGAGGAATTGTGTATGTGTTTTTCTGGCAAAGATGGCAACCAGAGTTGGAGTTTGGCAGAGATGGGCTCCACGGTATCCGCAGCCTGAGCCTCGTTTCCCGGCGAGGGCTCCCCGGGTCCGAGCGCGTGGGAAGAGGAGGTGGGACGCGCGTGTGAGTGTCCAGCCGGCGCGCTTGGGATTTTAACGACGGCGCCTCGAGTAGAGAAAGAGACCACGTTTTTTCTTAGAAGGATTTCGTGCTTTTGTCGCTTGAATAATAAGCAGGTCTCCCCGCTCTGGGTTTTACTCCTTTGTAGGCCAGAACAGCGGTTTTCTTTTATCTCTTCTCCTTTTTTTCATCATCTTCCTCTTTTGTGCACATACTTGGGTTCACATTTACTTCTGTGCTTTTGTGTTCACCCCTTTCAACCTGTTCTTCATACAGTTTTGTTTTGTTTTGTTTTTTACCTTTGCTTCGCCCCCTGGACTTTGCTGCAGAATAGGAAGAAAAAAAATTAAGTATAGAACATTCCTAGTTGAAGAGATGTCATGAAATGGTGCAGGGGAAAAACAAGAACAATTTCAGGAAACATTATCCTTTACACTAATCTCCCCGGAGATGTGAGAGAAGTTCCGTCATTTGAGGCCCCAAAAGGAACTGGAACACCAGTTGAACGGTAGCTGGGCTATGTGACCAATTTAAGATGATTTGTATTAAGACTAAAAATATTTGTTTTAAGACTGAGAATTAAGATTAACATCCACGATATTTGTGATGGTATTGCACATGAGAAGTGTGGGGATAACTAATTTGTGGTTAGATTTAGGCTTCAAGTGTCTGGAAAGAGCAGGGTGTTTTTTTTTAAATATATTTTATTGATTTTTTTATAGAGAGGAAGGGAGAGGGATAGAGTTAGAAACATCGATGAGAGAGAAACATCGATCAGCTGCCTCCTGCACACCCCCTTCTGGGGATGTCCCTGTAACCAAGGTACATGCCCTTGACCGGAATGGAACCTGGGACACTTCAGTCCGCAGGCTGATGCTCTATCCACTGAGCCAAACCGGTTAGGGCCAGCAGTTTTGTTTTTAAGAGAAAAATGAGTCAGTAAAGAACTTAATATTGATAATTACGAATTTTACATGGCGACTTAAGCAGTGGGGAAAAAACTTGCCAGTGTAATACTGCATTTTTTTGTGTCCCAAGTCCTACCTTTAACTGTCCTATCACCCTTTATTCCTTTGTGCTTTCTGATGAGAGAAATGGAAAACTGATGTTCCCCAATTTAACTAAAATAAAACTAAGTCTTTCTTTGTATTTGTATTTTTAAAACATCTCAAATTTCTGGTAGTATCTTGACATATACTTTAATATACATAAATCAAGATTTTTCAAACACAACACAACTTTCTGTGGTTCTGTCTTTGGTGAACAAATTTTTTCCTTGACCATCTTATGAGCAAAGCTTAACTTTTTCAGAACAATTAAATTACACATAAAACTGCAATCAAATTTGTTCACTCATCAATAATTTTTTGAGGGCCTATTATGTGTCAGGTACTCATCTAAGGTGCTGGGGATATAGCAGTGAACAGAAGTAGACAAGATTTCTGTCTTTTTGGATATAAAAAGTCTAATTGGGAGAGACAGGAACAAAATATTTAAGTTAATTGCATATTATATTAGAAGGTGATCGTGTTGTGGAGAAAAAGCATGGAAGGGGGTTAAGAAGTGGATATTTGGGGAATTTCAGTTAGAATGCTTAGGAAGTACAGAGTGCACAAATGCTGTGCTCTGACCAAGTCCTTAGCTAAAAAGTTTTCAAATTTTTTAAAAAATACATTTTTATAGATTTCATAGAGGAGGGGAGAGGGAGAGACAGAAACATCAATGATGAGAGAGAATCATTGATCTGCTGCCTCCTGCACGCCCCCCACTAGGGATCAAGCCCGTTATCCGGGCATGTGCTCTGACCAGGAATCAAACTGTGACCTCCTGGTTCATAGGTCGATGCTCAAGCCCCGAGCCACGCCTGCCGGGCCAGGTTTCTTTATTTTAGCCGCAGCAGGGTAATGCTGCTGCGGAAGAGGCTGCTTAAGCAGTAAGAGGAACTGTATTTTGCATATTATACAAATGTAGCATAGAATTTGATTGCTCCGATTGATAAAAATGAGGTATTCTTTAGGATCCATAACTGTGGGTAGGCTTTGCATTTCTCCTTGGAGAGTATGTATTTTAAAGTTGAAGTTGTAACTTAGTATCATCTTAGTCGTGCCTCCCAACGTTTTTTCAGGTTGTGGCACGTGCAGAAAATAATTTTTGAGCAGCACATTAGGATGGGTGAGGTAGTTGGAGGTTGCAGCTGGGTGTGTGAAACACTGAGGATGAGGATCAGTACCCTGGCACACCTGTAATGCTGGGGAAGCCCTCTCTGTCATGTTGCTAGAGTTCTTTACCCTTCAAGATTGTGGTTTTCAAACTCATGTGAGCCCTTTGAGACATGGTTTCCCAGTTTTTAGAACAGTCACAAGTCACTAAGAATTATGTTTTGTTTGTTTTTCTTTCCTTTTAAGATGTGGGGTGGGGGTGGGGGGGAGAGAAACATCCATTTGTTGTTCCACTTACTAGTATTTATGCATTCATTGGTTGATTCTTAATATGTGCCCTGTCTGCAGATTGAACCCACAACTTTGAATATCGGGACGACACTCTAATGAACTGAGCTATTGGGAAAGGGCCAGTTTATGTTTAAGAAACTATTCTTAGAGAATGGTGGGCTCGTGATGGTACTTAAAATTGGTATGAGTTAGATTAAAGAGAGAGATTTACATTTGATTTTGATAATTCTAGAAATCTTAAAATACTAAATGAAAGTTCTTTGTAGCAAATTTTTAGATATAACATTTTAGGGATCTTGATTTTTTGCTACAAACTTTCTGTCTCCAAACTACAAAAGCACTATTAAAGAGAATTTTTATGTGATTCTAAACATTCATAAGAGTATAGCAGTATTGGGGTATTCTGTATTCAGCTAAACCAGCGATTCTCAATCTGTGGGTCTCGACCCCTTTGGGTGTCGAACGACCCTTTCACAGGGGTTGCCTAAGACCATCGGAAAACACATATATAATTACATGTTGTTTTTGTGATTAATCACTATGCTTTAATTATGTTCAATTTGTAACAATGAAATTGGGGTCACCACAACATGAGGAACTGTATTAGAGGGTCGCGGCATTAGGAAGGTTGAGAACCACTGCGCTAAACCATAAAATTGTATTTTGTGTGTTGTTTTATTTTCATTTTGTGTTTAATCTTTTTTTTTTCTTTCCCTATTGGCTCATTTCATTCACAAATATGTATTATAAAGTATTTAACTAACTTAGCCTACTGAATATATTTTCTGATCTTAGAATACAACTGTTTCATTCAGACTTCTCTTACGTTGGAAGTTTTAAATATACGTGGTATACTTTTCTAATTTGACCATCCAGATTTATTTATTAACTTCAGGTGTGGACTCCCTTACGTTATGTCTAAGGCAGGGGTGGGCAAACTTTTTGACTCGAGGGCCACAGTGGGTTCTTAAACTAGACCGGAGGGCCGGAACAAAAGCATGGATGGAGTGTTTGTGTGAACTAATATAAATTCAAAGTAAACATCATTACATAAAAGGGTACGGTCTTTTTTTTTTTTTTTAGTTTTATTCATTTCAAGCAGGCCGGATTCCGCGGGCTGTAGTTTGCCCATGGCTGGTCTAAGGTCTTAGAAGGCCAGTGCATAATAGTTGATGTTTGTCAAATCTAAAAACAATGGTATAATTGAGAGACATGGTCAGTTGAATTACTCTTGTGGATTTTCTGCATTTTCTTCCTTTCTTACCTAATTGGATCTTAGACTATTTTTTTATTTTTATTTTTGGATCTTAGACTATTGACTTGATTTGGCTAGATGGAAGGAGTTTTCGATTTAATAACAAAAGATGGACTATGAATGTGTGCTAATTTTCAGGTGACTTAGAAATAAATTATTTTGGATTATTCATAATTTCATTGCTCATTACTCAAGTAATTGG